TCTTCTGGACAGGGGGTATGATTAAACAAAGCCATTAATTGAGAGACTCGCTTTGGCAGCTTCTGGGATGCGCTCATCTCCGGGCAGGCTCCACTCTGCCTCCGCGGGCCAGGGGAACAGACTCTCGGCCTCCTCCCTGCCTGGCCCACCTCCTCCCACTTCTCTCTCCTCTTCCGGGGCCCTCCAGTCAGGGCTGCAGACCTCGGCTTCTCATCAGCGGCCTCGCTGCCGCCAGATTCCTGCTAAAGTGCCTTGATTGCATAATGTCTATTTGCATAATGTAAATTGCAATCTCCTAGCTCGGGAGGCAGGAATCACAGAACAGCCATTATTTTTTACCACTCCACAAAAATTCTACATTTAGAAAGCAGATTTGCAGCTCAGAAAGCCATATAAATCTGAATCTGCCAGAAATGTCATTAAATCACACCAATTAAGCTGGACCCTCAAAGAGCCCCAGTCACTGCTCTCTGTACACTCAAGGACTCCCAGCCCAGATGGAGGCCACAAGATATCGGAGGCTGTGGCAGTGGGGCTGGAAACAGATGCCTGAAGAGGCAGGGAACTTTGTCTTACAAACCTGAGCACTCCCCGCCCCTAGCACTGGCTCCCACCACCACCTGGGCACACTGTCTGGCTGTCTGTAGACTTTTAACTTACAGAGCCCGAGAGAGCATGAGTGTGAAACCTACACCTTTTGCAAAACTAATGGGTGAGATCCAACGTATTTGTTGCGGTGCAAAATCTCTACCCCTTTAGCCCCACTTTAATGACCTTCTCTCCTCTCCCCAAGTCCCCTCCAGCCAAGAGAAAGGAACAAGAAGGACAAATCCTGCTCAGACTGGGCCAGGCTGGCTGCACTCTGAGCTCCTTTTAAGAGCTGTTTCCAGGGGTCAACTGGGGAGCAGGGTGAGTCACAAGGCTTCTGCAAAAGGGCATTCCCTCGGATAACCACCTAAGACTCCAGCTTCTACAAAGCGGTAGACCTGGTTACTCTTTTGCCTCTTTATTGCTCATTCAATATTCATTTGTCAAAGGGCAAGATGCTAATGTGTATTATTAAAATATCAATAGTGTATGAATGAACTTTTATGGAGAGTACAGTTAAAGGCAAAATTCTTGACCATCTCTGTGAGAAGCGATGGAAAGGAATAATCTTTCTATCAAACTCCACTTTTTATTTTTTTACTGGCTCAGAGTCACTAAACCATTATTAAGCACCTACTGTGGGCCAGGAATGGCTCTAAGTGTGTTCACATGCTGGGTTTTATTGAGTTCCCACAGCACTTCTGGGAAGTTTATACAATCTCATTTCCTTTCTAGAAATGAGGAATCTCAAGACCAAAGTCATGTGCCAAGGATCACAAAGGTGCTAAGTCACAAGGCTGGGATTCATATTTCCCTCCAATGTGGAGCCTCGAAAATCTAAATGACCTGTATGTTTTTATCTGTTTCCTTCACCTGCCCAAATTAAGCATTACTTTCCTGGCAGGGGAAAGAACAGAAAATCATTCCGTACTTCAATACCAACCTATCCATCTCCATAAAGAGGGCCCACTTTAAACAAGTTTCTGGAATCTTATGTGTATTTAGAATCTCTGAACTAAAGGTGACATTTCAATGATGATATCATCAGAACCCCCATTTTGCAGAAAAGTAAACTGAAGCTCTTTTAATAATCTTTTAAAAAACTTCAGTGACTTTTAATTTTTATTAACATATTCATTGCACACATTAACAGGATTCAGTATGATAACTTTAATATATGCATCCACTGTGCACTGATCAAATAATGAAGTAGTTTAAGTCAAGAATAGAGTTGTAAGTTGATTTCAATGCTGCTGCCAGCTTACTGTTACTTTTTAGTGTATTTCTCTTATGTGCTGGGCCTTCACTTCTGTGATAATAATTCAGAGATAATAATAGGATCCTGTAAACCAGGGGCCAATCAAATTATACCTCACAAAGCACCCAAGTGCTTAGTGCAGTGCCTAGAATGCAGAAGTACTCAGCAAATGTTGGTTACTAATGTTCATATTAAGCTGATAAGGACAAACCCCAGATTTTCTTACCAAACTCCAGCACCTTTTCATCAAAACCAAAACCACTTGCCCCTCCCCCCCCATTAGCCTTTCTCAAATCTCAGCCCTTTGTGTGTGTGTGTTGGGGTGGGGTGGTGGTCAGGGATGGATTGGCTTGGTTCCTACCTACCCTTTGGCTGTTTGGATTTTGCTTCTGTCTCCATAAATTATAACAAGGCAGCCAGAGCACTCAGATTCTCTTCCAAATTTCAACTGGATTTGCATCATGAACATGGAAAAGAGAAGAAAACCTGGTTCCTAAAGGGCTGTCCCTCCCCAGATCAGAGTACAGCAGAAGACCTGACAGGCCAGGAAGCAAGGGCTGCTCAGAACTCCCTATCCCTGGCAAGACAGCTCCCTGTCGACATTACGACCTTGATCTTCAGCTGAAAACCACCCCAGGCTGGAAGGCTACACTGATAGATATGCAGGCAATCTGGATGCCAAAAAGGGCATGCCTTGTGGATACAAGACAGGTCTAAGACACCTCTAGACTGGACACTTCATGCTACAACTTGCATGCCGGACGAACTCTTGTGGAGATGGCCCGTGAGGGTGAGGTTTCTACCAGCCACAGGAACTCCCAGAATCACCATGTCCTGTCCAGGAAGGAAGTCTAGCTTGGCCTTGAGGAGCTCTTGAAATTCAGATATTGTTTCATCTAAGACAGTCTGTCTTTCTAGAAGTAACCCATCTCCCCCTTATAGAAGACTTCATTTCACTCTTTATGGAAAACATATGAGACTAGTTATACCGGACTGCTAGCAAACACTTGGAAAATACTAGTTGTAGTAGGTTATCTTCTCCAAAGATTACTGCAGCAACATAAGCTGGCCCTCCAATGGCAATATAGCTTCCACCTAGCTTTTGCTCTTTCTCAAGATGTTCCTCTTAGAAAGCCACATGGAGAGGTCACTTGGGCCTAGATGACAACCCCAGCTAATATCTTAGCCAACAGCTCGCCTCAAAGTCCAGAATGAAGGAACTTGTGGATGACTCCAGCACCAGCTTTTCAGCTGACCCAGATGAAATCCCAGACCTGATAAAGTGGAGACAGGTTGTCCTCACACTGCTTTATCTAAATTCCTGACTTATATGAACACAATAAATGTTCAGCTCACTCTGTTTTGGAGGTGATTTGTAGTACAGCCTAGTAACTGAATGCCACTGGAATGAAATTAAAATGTTTATTATTTCCCACTAGAACTCAGGCCTCATTGGTCTTCTCTCTGAAACTTCAGACCTTCAGACTTCTTCCTCCTTACCTGGTTCCCATCACTCTGAGCCTGCCTTCTCTCCTCTTCTTCCTCCCTCTCCAGAAGGCAGGCTCTTCATTCCTGAGATGGATTTGGCAAAACACTGCCTGAGAGATCATTTGAACCCTTCCCATTTCAGAGTCCTGGGACCTGAAGAAATTTGCTCTTCCCAAGTCTTTACTGAGGTCCAAGTGTCCCCGCAAGGGAACTTTCTCCCTGGGTGTGGGTGGCTCAGTGCTGAGATGCTCGGCTGCACTCCAGGACTGGGAAGGAAGGTGCAGATGGATGTCTCCCCTATGCTCCACTGTCATTAAGGTTCATGCTTGACTTGACTTATGAGGTTCCTGTAACCTCCGGTGCAAGGAGACATCGATTCCCACAAAGGTTATTGCCTTCTACTCTGGCTCCCCAGCCCACCCCAAGCCCCATCTCCAGGCAGGCTTTCCTGGAACAGGATGGAGGGAGGGAGGCTCCCTTCTCTACCCCCTTGGCCTGGGGATCCAACCACTCCTGAGCCCGGGCTGCAGATGAGGTGCCTTGGGAGCCCAGGACCATCAATCACAGAGGCGACCAGCACTGAATCTCAGGCCATTAGGCGGGAGGGCCGGCGCCCTGCTCACTCACCGGGCAGCCATAGGCAGGATGTTAGCCGATTGCAGGGCAGCCATTCTTATGATTTATTCAAATACTCATTACAGTCAATCTATTTTTACACAGAGGTGAAGATGTGCGCTGATAACAGTTAATCATTTATAATTCCATGGACTGGTTGGAAGCCAATGTACTATCAAAGCCGTAGCAGCAGCAGCAACCTGGTCTCGGGCATCCCCAGAGCAGAGTGGAGGAGCCCTGCCAGCCCAGGGCAGCCCAGTCATCTGGCTGACAATCACCAACTGTAACTGGACTTAAGGTACAGTGTGCAAACTTGTGGGGATCCCAGACTGTATCCTCTGGGAGCTCATGCCCGCATTGGTGAGAGCACAAAAAGGGCCTGCTAGAGGAGAGGGCAGCATGTAAATGCTACAAATCTCAGAAGAGGAAGAACTCATTTCTAGCTAGGCTTCCAAAAAAGGCTCCACAGTTCAGGCTGGACTTCAGCCAACTCCTACAGGTGGGCAGACTCTTGCCAAGTGGGAAGGGGCCATATGAGCCCATACTTAGGTTCATATTGTATGAAGTAGAGCTCTTACTGGGTAGAAGGAAGGGAAGTGGTCAGCAGTATTTCCTTTTGACTCCCCAGAAATAACTAGATGTTTAAATGTTAAGTGCAGGCTATGAATTTGACCTTGTTCGGGAACTCACGGTGTTGCCACTTCCTCTTGTCCTCCATACTTAGCCCTATGCACAGCAGTAGCTGAGGCCTGGGTCAGCCTTGCAGACTGAAGATCTTCCTTCCCCAGCATTCATGTTACACATAACACATCAAGTCCACCTTAATGCCCAATCAATACAATCTCATTAAATAGCATGTCATATTACAAGGCTGCTTTGTCACATTCAGACATAATCTAATTAGAGCTCCACTGTGTTTTACATGCTGGCTAACTTATTGTTGAACATTTCTCTTGTACAATGCATAGCTGCTAAAGATCAGGTTCAGGACTGGTCTTGAACCCATAACCTTATTGAGTCAGTGTGGAAAACGTCAATCAAAATTACTTACAGTTTACAGCCCCTTTTCTAGTGAGCCGCATGGAGGACAGAGTCCTCAGAGTCTTGCTCCAGACTTCACCTGCCAATGAAAGAAAACATCTTTATAGATCATGTAAAGTTGTGATAGGGTTGTGCAGCAGAATAGAGTTGGGTAGGGCCCAGTGAGGGATTTCCTTGGGAGCAAAGTAGGGGCTGGCAGCTCTGTACCCATAGTGCTGAGTGGGAAAGTATCCTAGCAAAGGCATCCTGGTGCAAAATGGTAATGATTTTAAGAGCTAAGCAGGACACAGATGTGGGATCATACCCATCTGTGCCTGCTGGGTGCCTCCATTTCTTTTGAGTTTTGGCCCTTTCTATATACGAGCCCCAGAGAAAAAAGGGCTCTTAGCTGTCCAATAACTCAAGCTGACCAAAGAGTAATCATTTACTGGAGCCTCTCTCCTGGTGGAAAATTCTGAGCAGGGATGGAGCTCAGGGCCTCCTGTGAAAGCTTGCAGACGGGGAAAGCTGCACATACAAGCAGACAACAAAACTGCCCGTGTTGTTTATGGTGGGAAAATGAAAGTCTTGCTACAGGGGGAACTTTCAAATAAAGTGAAGAAGTTCAGATGGGTAGGAAGGAAAATATACATGGAAAAGGATGATAAAGACAAGATAGAAAAATCAAAACCCTAATTACTTTTAATTCTCTTTCTGGAATAAAACAACTTTCTAAAACAGCACATATTTATCTGGTGTCCATGATCTACACTTGCTGGGTACAGCTGGAATAATATCCATGGGTCCTGTTATAAATAAGAAATAAGATTGCCCATAGGAAGCAGCACCAGAGAAAACACGACTACACAAGCAGTTACACTATACTGTATAATAGAGACCATCATACTCTCTCCATGAAGAGCAGAAATTAGCAGGAGCTGGGACACTCGAGGGAGTTCTGTTGTGGGAAAAGAATGCAAGTGGGATCTCAGAAGACTGGACAGGCAAGATCTGGCTGGTGGAAGGGGAGAGAGGGTCCTATAGGTTGGGTATTTAATATCCTCAAATGGTCACCTGTTAAAGACTTAGTTTCCAACATGACATTAGTCGGAGGTGGAAGAATCATTCAGAAGTGGGAACCCGTGGGAGGTCTTTAAGTCACTAGGGTGTGCTCTAGAGGGGGATGGTGGCACTGTGGCCCCTTCCTCTTTTTCTTCTGTTTCCAAGTCATGGTGTGAACAATTTTGCTCTGCCACACTTCCCTGTTGTGATATGCTACCTAACCACAGACCCCAAGCAATGAGGACAATTGATGGTGGGCTGCAGCCTCCAAGATGTGAGCCAAACTGAACCTTTTCTCTTTATATGTATATTGTCTTGGGTATTTTGTTACAGTGACAGGAAGCTAAGTGACATGGGTTTGTCAAATAGAGGGCATGTCAAATCAGGGGGCAATCTCACCAAGAGCAAAGAAGGGGGAGTATGGAGGACCTGAGACAGCACAGTGGTTGGTGTGACTGAAGGAAACAAAAGGACAGAAGCATGTCAACTAATCAGGATGGGCCACAGCATCCAGGCTTTGAGCATCAGGCAGGAGGAATCAGGTTTGTACTGTGAGCTTCTAGAACAACTGAAGGTTCCCAATGAGGAAATGGTAGGAGGTAGCACTGCTACTACAGCATTCCTTTAGTATTTTCCCTTTAATTAAGACAGGAGAGGAATCTTAGAAAAAAGTGGGATTTCAGTTAGAAGATTCAGGTATCAGCTATAGAGAGATATGCTCGTGAAAATACATGGTTCCTCTTGTTCACAATGATATCCTCTAGCCAAAAGGTCTTCCTCTGGGTGTTTCCAACTATATCTGCATGATCACAGTTTTTAGTTTATGAGACAGGGACACTAGACTGCCAGCCACTGAGGAATATGATGCTGTTTTACGCATCTTTACATTTATAGAACCTAGAAGAGTGCCCAGTATCATTGAGGTTCTCAGAAATAGCTCTTGAAATGTTGAATGGTGAACCCTGAATCTGTAACCAGCACCTCAGAACCAGCCCTTGGTTGACAAATGGCTCTAAGTTGTGTTTTGTTAAAGTACTTACAGGTCACTACTGAGCTCAGTCCATTATATGAAGTCAGTACATGAAGTCCCTAGATTAAATTACATGGAGCTTCGTGCTCTATCCCTGCCCTCTGAGAAATCCATCTGAGATACTCCACTTGGAAGAAGATATGGCAGACTTTCCATCTGTCACAATAGAGAGCTGCTGTGCTGGAGGGACAGAGTCAAGACTGTCACAATGCATAACAAGCAAAAAGGACAGGTCAAACTAAAAAGTCCATTTTTGCTTTACTGATCATTTCTTGCATAAGAGAATCATGATAACCACAAAAGAAATAATTTCAAAAATAAGGTAAAATTGTCCATGATCTCATTACTCTACACCATCAAATTATACTCTGTGACCTGCATGTTTTCCTTTTTTAAAAGAATTATTGATTAAAAATTTGACAAGTATATACACACCTGTCTCCTATATTTCAAAATCAATTTCAAAAACAGAACTATGTGACCCAGTGTAAAAAAATGACCTGAGTTATTTGAGTCAAATGCAAGTTCAGGATATGGTGTTGCTGCCAGATTCACCAAATGTGATCTTAGGCTACAGTTATAATCATACAGTGTCCAACTAAGATCTGGACAGCCTCCACTCTGAACTTACCAGCCCATCAGTTCTATGCATAATTCTGGCATCATATTTTAAGAATTTTAATAGTGATGAGTAGAAAAGAAAGAAGACATCATGCAGTTAAATTGTGGGTTAAAAGTCTAGTGATTAAAAGTACACGTTCTAGAATCACACTCTATGTGCAAGTAGTGATCTCAACTTAACCACGGGTGAGTTCCTTATCTCCTCCTCCTTGCCTTAATTTTTTGTTTATAAAATAGGGATAATAACAGATCTTCCTCTGTGGCTGTGAGCACTGCAGGACTTGATGTAACCCAAGGTGCATAGGGCAGCTCCTCACACAAAAGAAGCACTCAGTGAATGGGAGCTATTGTTGTTGTTGTTTTCATTATTATAAGGAGGCTATGAGACAGAAGTCATGGAGGAAGGAATCAGAGCAATATCTTCATATACCCCATCTAATATTACCCATTGGTCCTAATTTTACTAAGTAAAACAACATGTTCCCTCTCCCTCAGGGTGGTCCTATAAATGTCGAAAGAAACTACATGAAAGAGCTGAATAATACTAGAACGTAGGATTAAGACTAACTGTAGATGTTAGAGGAAGATGATCTTCAGTTCAACATGAGAAAGCTATGAGAACCCTTCACAAGCGAGCCAGATTTTCTCTGAAGGCAGTGAATCCCAAACTCCAGAGGGAGACTCCTACACTGGGTGAGAAACAGCTCCAGAGCAGTTTCCCTTGGATTTCAGCCATTTGTAAAAATGTTTGTAAGAAATTACAAGGCTGATAAGATCAATAACTTACATTTTGAAAACATACTAATAGTGTTTTCTTTCATCATCATTTCAAAGTAATTCAATGCACCAAAGAAGGGCAAACCCTCACAATAAAGTCATCGCTAGAACTGAACATGCAGTATCATAGAAACCCTCCCCCCTCCTCATGTACACAGAACATTTCCACATTGTGCTTGTCTTTCATTCCTCACACATACCAGTGTAGTCTTCCCCAACCAGTTCTAGCCCATGGTGCACATGGAAACTATCATGTGCAGGACATTTTACCCTGGCAAGCAAACATCATGTCAAAAGCCTTCAGCCATATACCAATGCAACCAGAATTAGAACTTGAGTCTTTATTCACCGTGAAGATAATCTGGAATCATACATGAGATTGACCATGTCCCATTTATAAACTCTAGGGGAATCTGTGAAGTAATAAACAAGGAGGAAATTGTTGAATAGCCATGTTTATATGAAAAAGAGTCGGGAACCGGGATTAGAAGAAATCTTCCCACAGGATGTAGTACATTAGGATGGACTTGGCATCCTAAAGACAGCTGTGCATTCCTCAGTGAGGAATTCATACAGTCAGGCAGGCTGAAAGGATGAAGGAGCTGAGCTTGGGTTTAAGCAAGCCATGGCATAATACAGAGAGCACTAGATCAAAAGTGTCAGCCAGACATGGGTCATGCCCTGACCCTGTTGCTAACTTACTGTTTGAATTTGTTTTTGTTTTTTATTTTTTTGAGACAAGGTTTCACTATGTAGTTCAGGTTGGCCTTGAGCTCACTATGTAGCCCAGGCTGGCCTCACACTTGTGGCAATCCTCTTGTCTCAGCCTCCCCAGAATTAGGATTATAGGTGTGCACCACCATGTATGGCTTTGCTGTTTGGATTTGGACAAAGGCCTTTAATCTCTTTAAGCCTCCGTTTTCCCATCTGAAAATGATAGATTAGATGATTCTTAAAGCAGAATTCCATCTGACCTCTACATGATCTCTAAGGTTGTCCAGATTAATCTCCAGGGACAGAAGTAAGTGTCTTGCTAAGGTAGAACAGTACGTATGTCATGGTGGTGATGAGTAAAGAAGCTGGAGACAGACATCTCTGTGTTCAAGCCGGGGCCCATCACTTATCTAACCTTAACCTCTATGAACTTCAATTTTCTCACTTCTGAGACAGATAACAGAAACATTTTTAATGTGATAATGTATGCACAGTATTTATTGCACTGCCTAGAACATACCAATAACTCAAGCAATGAGACTAGCGTTATTTAGTGTTATAAAATAAGGGTTGGCAACAACCGAGTGGGAAAAAGAAGGGCAAATAGAGAAGATTAAGAACTTCTACATTCAACCCACAGCCTGTGACAAGTTTCACTGTGCTTGCTCAAGCCAGACCTTTAAGATGAGAACCAAACTGTGACAATCTCTTCTTGGGCACCATAGTCTCTCTGGATGTTCCTGTTCTCTGAAAGGCCCTGTGTAGGCATATGGAAAAAATTCACAGAACTTGAAAGGAAAGATCTTAGTCAGACAGCCCACTCCAGAAAGTATTTTCAGGTTATTTCTCCATCCCTTCAGACAGTTTGTCTTGTATCTCACCATCAGAGTATCCATGTTCCCATGTTGTTCCACCGACAGTCCCTGTAGTTGCTTAAATTTGTCCGTGAATTTGTCAGTCACGTATGGTAGCCTATGACCATCAGGCTTTAAATGCATAATAACTGAGTAATTGGATAAAGAGATAATTACCTGGTCCTAAACACTTGGGGTCTGAGACTCCTACCCACTGGCATGCCCTTCCTCTAAGTCTGGTAGAAATAAGTTCTAATTCTACATCCATTCTCAGCCCTCTGAATCATGGCCAGTCTGAGGGCTCAGTTGCAGGGGACCTGCAAAAGTTCCCTCTGTCATACTCCCTCTGATCTTTGGTCTGTACCTGTAAGTCTAGGTATGAATATGAAACCCTGTAAGGAATCTTAACGCTGGTAGGTTAAACCTAATGATTTCCCTACATGGGAGAAGGAATTGGAGATGCTTAGCTCTCTTTATACTGGGTGAAAATGATTTACCCTCCAAGCCCAGGAAGTGAAGACCAGAGACACACAGTGGTGGGAGTTCACAGAGAGGTGGCCTCTGCCCAGGCAGATGGATTGGGAATTCACTGGTAGAGCAGGCCTCCCTGGCCTGGGGACATCCTTTGCAGTGCACATATTAAGACCCAGGCCCTACCAACTCTTCATCAGGAATATCACTGTTCCTCCATTCATGCCATGGTCACTGACCTGACTAGGTGGGCTTGCTTTCTTTCTCTAGAATGGTGCAAGGGCCCCTGATAGGTCTCCTGGCCTCAAGCCTAACCCTCTCTTGCCCATATACCCCCTTACTTACTGCCCCAAGATCTTACTGAAATACAAACTAGATGATGCCCACCCCTCCTTAAAATCCTTCCAAGACTCCTCAATTCCTGGCAGAGGCTGCCAACTGGCAGCCCCTGTGTTGACTCTTGCTGTCTGGTGTTTTTATAAATTCTGCCAATATCTAAACATTTGGGAAATTTCTCTTTCTACCAAAAAAAGACTTAAGTATGCCAACCCTACATTTCCACATGCTACTCACTGGAAGACACTGGAGATCACCACCTCCTTTGACTTGGGTGGAAGTCCTCCTCTTTGCTCCTTGGGTAGAAAGCAGGTGGCACCCTGGAAATCTCTCCTGTCCAGGGTCCAGACTCTTGAGAGGCTGATTCTCATTGCCTGTTGGAGTTTCCTGTTCAAGGTGACAGCACGGGGCGGTTGGGGGGTGGCACAGTATGTTCTCACCTCTGCTGTAACCCACTGCAGGCCAAGAGAGGACAGCCAACACCACTCCCACCTGGACCCACTATGTATTCCATCCTGTCACCTGGACACCTCCTCCACGTCTCACTGGGCACAGCCAGAAAGACCTTTCTGCACTTCTTCAGGGTTGCCTGTGACAGCAGGCAGGTGCTGAAGAGACCCATCCCCACTTGATTCCTGAAGATCTACCCCTGCTCTAGCCTCTCCCCACCCCCACCTCTGTGGAAGCTGCACCCCTCCCTTTATTTCCATCCCACTCTTCCTATCAAAGCCCTAACAGCACATATTTTGCTAATTGTACAAACCTAATGGGGGAATGCATTGGCAAAAAAGGGTAATGGCCATCAGACCAGCAATAAAACAAAATTAATGGCCCATAGGAAGAAATCATGTCCACTTAATCCCAGCTCTGAAACTCTAATAGAATAATGGAATACCAACTGAGGGTTTTTTCTCTCTATGCAGATTGCTTACACCATGTTAATCACTTGCAAAGCAGGCCACATACCACTCTGGCTCACATGACCCTCCAGGGAAAGTAGCAGACCAGAAACATTCAGTGCGAAGCTCATTACTGACATGCACTGCAGCAGCACCACCTTCCTCCCTCCCTCCCCCAGGTGACTCCAGGACAACCAGCGTGGGGCATCATTGAGGGCTGTCAGGTGTAGTGGGCCAGAAAGCCAGACACAGAACACCTAATAATAGCAAGCATTTATTGAGTGTTTACTATGTGCCAGACACTGGGCACATCCATTCTCATTCTCCTCCATTGCCACATGGTGCCATAGGGTAGCCACTAGCCACATGTGGCTCTTTACATTTAAATTCTAATTAATTAAAATGAAATAAAATGTAAAATTCAGTCTCTTGTTGCACTAGCCACATTTCAAGTGCTCGACAACCACACGTGGATAGTGGCTGTCACGCTGGACGACTAACTACCTTCCAGTTCGAACAGGGAAAACAACGCACAGAAAGATTCGGTGGCTTGGCCAAGGTCAAAGAGGTAGTTAGTGACAGTGTTTGGGACTATAATCCAGATCCCCTGACCAGAGAACGGAGCCACGCCCAGGCCCGCATGCGGTATGTGAGAAGGAAGAGCTGTCCCTGCAGCCTCCTGGAAGAGTCCTGAGTCTGGTCAGATGGGGGGTTGAGCCAGAGGACAGAGCTCTGAGGAAAATCCGGAGAGACGAAGTGAGGGTCTGTATGATATTTGATTCCACTGCCTTTTGGCAAGACACTAAAGTGGAATATATTACAATTAAAAATACATTAAACAGCTAGGCATGGTGTTGCACGCCTGTAATCCCAGCACTCAAGGCTGAGGCAAGAGGATTGCTGCAAGTTTGTGGCCAGCCCGGGCTACATTGTGAGTTCAAGATGAGCCTGAATTACTTAGCTAGACTCTGTCTCAAAAATAAATAAGTAAGTAAATAAATAAACATATACTGAGCGACCTTGTTATGGTTTGTGTTCAGATGTCCCCCTAAAGCCTCATTTGGATGAGGTGGGACTTTCTTTTTCAGAGGTAGTTAAATCTAGAATGTGTGATGCTAGGATTAAGGGCACGTGATTACTGAAGCACTACATGTGAGTGATTAGTTTGGCACTGCTCTAATCCCGGTAGTCCGAGTAAGATAAAGGGGGAAGAAAGATGCTGTTAAACTCTCTTCTTACCTTTGCTACCTTGCGCACGTTGTGCAGTTCCTGCTCTGCCGTACCTGTTTGTCGTCCCTAACTTGGAGTCAGCTGATCATGGACTGAAACCTCTATGAACTGTAAGCCTAATAAACCGCTCCCCCTCTAACTCTGGGTGTTGGGTATTTTGTCTCAGCAAGGAGAGAGAAGTAACCAACACAAAACCTAACTTGAAAATGTATCCGAAACAAAAGTATATGAACTTGTGATAATCCACCTGCCTGGAAAGCACAATATCCTGAGTTCAATTCCTGGTACCAAAAAAAAAATAAATAAATAAAAAATAAAAATAGTCCCAGCACTCTGGGAGGCTGAAGCAGGATTATCACAAGTTCAAGCTCAGTATGGGCAATTTATTGAATTAGTGAGGTCCAAAATAAAAAATAAAGGACTGAGTATGTAGTTCAGTGGGAATGCCCTGGGTTCTAGCCCAGGTAACACAAAAATTAATAAATAAATCAATTAATTAAAAATAAAAATAGACTTGAAGAAAGGTACAGAATAACTAAAACACTGTAAAAACGTGCCTTCACTTCTGGGGACAAGCCATATACCCAAAAGAACTGGAAGCAGGCATTCATATACTTGTACATCCATGTTCACAGCAGCATTAGCTACAAGAGCCAAAAGCAGAAGCAACTCAAAGGGCCACTGATGACAAATGGATAAGCAAAATATTGCAGCTGGGTTTGGGTCTAAAACATGCCCCAAAGGCCCATGTGTAGAAAGCTTGGTCACCAGCCTGTGGGGCTCCTGGAGGTAGTGTAGCCATTAGGAGGTGGAGCCTAGTAGAAGAAAGTTAGGTCCCTGCTGGTGTACTCTAAAGGGAATATTGGGACCCTGGCCCCCTTCCTTCTTTTGCTTCCAAGCATCCATGCCCTGGTGTACTGCTACAAACCCAAAGCAACAGGGCCAAGCAACCATGGACTGAAACTTCTGAAACCATAAGCCAAAAAAATCTCTTCCTTTAATAAATCAAGTTTCTCAGGTATTTTGTCACAGGGACAGAAAGTTGACCAACATAGTGGTATAAACATGCATAGAATCTTATTCAGCCTTTAAAAGGAAGGAAATTCTGATGCTATAGCATGAATGAATCCTAAGGACATTATCCTAAGTGAAATAAACCAGTCACACAGGGGCATATACTGTTTGATTCCTCTTATATAAGGTACCTAGAGTAGTCAAATACACAGAGACAGAAAATAGAATGGTGATTGCCAGGGTAAAAGTGGGGTGAGGTGGATGGAGAGTTATTTAATATAGGAAGAGAGTTTCAATTTTGCCAGATAGAGTTCTGCAGATGGATGGTGGTAATGTTGCATGACAGTGTCAATGAACTTCACGACACTGACAAAAAATTGGTTAAGATGGTTGTGTATATTTTACCACAATTTAAAATATATGTACCAACCCTAATTTCTCCCAATTTCTATTAGGAAAAAAATTGTTTTAAGGATCCTGGCTTTAAAGAGTAAGAAAAGAGCAGCTTATCAGCCTAAAGAGGGGGATAAGGAGCCAAGGATTATTGCCAGAGAAAACAGGAAGCCTGGAGTCTTGCAGCTGCAAGGAAGAATGGGACGGGGCTCCTGGGTCAACTTCTCCCTAGGATGAAAACTGGCCAGGCAGGCCTGCACAGTGAGGGCGACTTTCCTGGGAGCACCAATCTGAGCCAAGGTGATTCCAGAGGATTGCTATTTGAAAAATGAGAAATGACATAGGATCAAAAACAAAAAACAGGGGCCAGGGATTTAGCTCAGTGGTTCTGCCGCCTACCTTGCAAGCACAAGATCCTGAGTTCAATCCCTGGTACCAAAAACAAAACAAAACAAACAAAAAAGGAAAACAACTTGGTAGGGAAAAGCAAGAGGAACCAAGTCATTAGTCTGACATGAAAGTCTAGGAACGCACCCATAGCAATAAACACTGTGCAAGAAATCTAAAAGGAGAAGGGAATAGAAGGCTAAGAAAAAGATGAGAGGATTTGGGCTTCTGATCTGACGCAGCTATGAGCAACTTGGTACGTTAGAAAGAATTCAGCCAGGACCAAGGGAATGGTCTTTATCTCCACAATCTTAGGACCTAACACCTGTCATCCTAATTCCATGGACCTCAACTTCTTCACCTATTGAGCCAAGTGGCTAGAACAGAGCAAAAAGAACCTTAAGGTTCTAAGGGTCTGCAAGCCTCTCAAAATTTTTTCCAGAATGGTATTATGCATACATTTTTCTGGGGAAAGATTTAAAAATTGTACCAAGATTCTGAAGCTGTCCACATTCTCAGAGAGGTTGGGAACCAATGGAAAAGATATTTACTAGGTTCCTATTCAGCCAGAAAATCTTAAATTTCCAAGAAATCTTGGATTAAATACCAATAAATCCTTGGGCCTCAAATAAACCTAGATGTTTATTCCTGCCTTGCTGTCAACACAGAGATACAGAAATGTAATGAAATAACTATATATGTTGAAAAGTTAAGGTTATCTCTCCCACATAACTAATACTCTTGTTGTGGTTGCTTTCTAGAAAGCAAGAGAAATGCTAGAGCAGACTTCTAGGAGGAGGGAAGAAGCTGGCTCCTATTTTTCTAGAACAAAAGCAACATGTTAACAGGAGGTGCATCTGCTACAGGGTGACCTTTGGCTTTCCTCATTTGGTTAGAAATGAAGAGGCCCTTATTTCCCCTAGTGGAGGAGTCCAGCTCCTAAAGATAAGTAAATATAGCCTCCTCAGGAGTACGCCAGGCAGAAAGATACTTCTCTTTGTATAACAAGCTCTCATTCGGCATCTGGCTTTGCTTTAGTGAGAATTCTTATTTGTGTGACAGAGGAAAGCGACAGTCAGGATCCCTCAGGGAAAACATCTCAGGCAGAGGACAGTATTTGGCCACCAGAAAGCAAGACCCAGACTGATAGCCTGCATAATGACTCAGCCAGGATCACTAGGGCAAAGGGAACATTTACCAGGCCAGAGGGAGCCAGCCAGAGGCAGAGAGAGAGAGCAGAAGCTTGGACCTAGCTCAGTGCAGTAGCCAGCATTAGAACAGAGCATGGCTGGGCCTGAACAGTCATGCAGATCATCTGTCCTGATTTCATTTCACATCTGAGGACATGGTTAGGCATGCAGTAGGGAGTCTCGACAGGGAATCTAGAATTGGAAGCCATACCAGGAATTTCCTTCATTCATTTACTAGGCTGGGATCAAATATGAACAACAAATCCAGTTCCCT